CAACCGACGCGATGATCCGGTGTTGGTGATGTTGGTGAAATGTTCGCGCTTGCAACTGTGTCAGGCGCATTGACAGTAACTGCATCAATTAAACCCATATTCTGTTCAGTAAATTTTCACCACTCCTTTATGGACTAATCAAGTTACCATTTACCTCTAATAGCTACCATTCAGTGTGCGAAAGGCAAATAGGTCATCAGCAGTACGCCATGTCTAGGACTTTGCTTTCTAGTCGCAGTGATATCCCCTGTACTGCTCAATCGATAGAATTTGATTGCCTGCGTGATCACAAAGAGAATCCTAGCGCCCTTCGCATGACTGTTCTCTATACCACTATCAGTGTTCGCAGTTCTGCTTTTGCTAACGGTACATCTCGCATCCTTGTGTTACTGCCTTCAGCAAGTGATATTCAAGGGATGGACGAGGGTTCTTTTGTTTTAGCGATGACACAAATTAAGAAAGACATAATCTTGTCCCTGTGTATTTTTGTACTTGAAATATACAAAAATGTACAAATTACACCAGTAAATTCAATGAGGGGAATAATCCAGATAGCGACACACCAAGCTTGCCACTGCGATCGTGCGTTTTTGCGCTATGCTTGAAGCAGTCAGACTGTAAATAGTTATAATGCGTTGCAGTTCAACACCGGAGACTGATGTGGCTGTGTTTTAGTCTCTTCTGGCATTCAGGGGGAAAAGGACATGTACGAAAAGGTTAGAACACAGCCAAGGGTAGGTTTGTCTTCTTCCATGCAAGAAAAGGCCAAAACACAGGCAGCATTACTCCACATACTAAACAGCACGTTGAATCTTAACTTTTAGCGTGTATGATTACCGTAAATTTATTCGGCATCGGTTGTCCACCTAAAAATGCAAATTGGACAATAAATAGGGTGTCGAGGGAGAAGGAAACAAAATCTGTAAAATGTACTCGTTTTTGAGGTTGCGATAAAATTGAGTATTTGTCATGTTCATTTGCAGGAATTTAACATCCAGACTGAATTTAAACTACGCGTGGATACAGGACTCTTTCTTAAATTTTCAGCTTTCTAGCTTCTTTGGTTTCCGAAAACGTCATTTTATTACAAATGTCGTTAACGTGCCCTAAGGCGTGCTACAAGTGCAGTTCGAAACTGCATATAGAAATACAAACACCCAGAGAGACGAAAAATATTCTGGTAGGACTACAGCTATCGTTTTCCAGCTAGTTTTCGAGCTGGCATGGTGTCAGTCACAAATTTTAACGTGATAAAGTGCGCGGCAACTGAGTTTGAAGTCTTTAGTACATTCATGGAAATTTCTCGAAGTAATTTCTCGAAGTAAATTTTTCACCAGAAAATTGAAAGCTTTTTTCTCGGCAAATGAGATCCAAGCCTA